AACTATTTAAATGTGTATAGTGTTTTGTTCTAAGTTTGTAATTTATGTTGTAACTTGCTTTATGTTACATACAATCATGTAAAATTGTAAACCTTGTACTTCAAATTGCTTTGAACCATGCAAGGCATTTCAGCTTTTGGGGAGTATAAAACTTTAAAAAATAAGGGCAAAATTCCATGCATGATTTGATGGGGGAAAAGCCCTACAAGTCCTGATATGCCACAAGCAATGTAGCCGTGGAATGCTGAGAGCTGTTTTAACAGGCACAGGACTGTATCCTAAATCAAACATCTTTGACAAAAGCAAAACCACCAAACAAGAACAGTAAAGTGGTAAATTACAGTTTGCACAATGCAGGAAAACAATCCCGAGTGAAGAAATAGGCCTTGAGGTGGTGCCAAAAGTATTGACGCTTCAGCACCCGTGAACATGGGTGGGAGAAGGGAAATGAGTTCCATAGTCAGGGTACCTGCTTCGTTTTATTTATTTATTTATTTGAAATGTTTACATACTGTTCTTAATCCATATAGGATCTCAGGATGGTTTACATAAAAACAAAAAACAAAAACAAAAAAAAACAGACATAAAATCCACAACAGCATTTACAATGCAATAAACAGTATATACAATATATAATACAATCATTGCAACTATTAAAATACTGGGTAAATAAAAAGGTTTTAGCCTGATGCCAAAATAAAGAAAGAGTTGGTGCCAGGTGTACCTCTCTGGGGAACAGATTCCATAACTGGGGCACCACCACTGATAAGGCCCTTCCCCTGGTAGCCACTCCAGCCTCTTTCAAAGAGGACTCCTGGAGAAGGGCCTCAGGAAATGATCTTAGGGCAAGGGCAGGGGCATATGGAAGAAGTTCCTCCACAAACCTGTCTGTCCATGTAAGGATGTAGTTGATGGACCAACCAAAGCTGGTGGAATGAGATCCCTGCCACAGTAGCCACCAGAGATTGCAAGGATAGCTCTGAGTCAAGAATAATCCCAAACTATACATCCTGTCCCTTAGGGGGGAGTGCAACCCTTCCAGAACACCTGGACATGTGATCCACCTACCAATAGCACCTCCCTCTTATCTGGGTTGAGCTTGAATGTATTGGCCCTCATCAAGTCCTTCACTCCACCCAGGCACAAGTTCTAATGAATACCATTAGACAAACTCTCTTTCTTCATTCTGTTTTCCTTCTCATCAAGCTGCTTCAGTCCAGCCTTCTTCACTGGATCCCCTCAGGATGTATTGGACCGCAATTCCCATCTTTCTTGGCTAGGACCATGTTGGTTCAGGATGTTAGACATGCAGTGCAAAGCATCCAGAGTATAACAATGCAAGAACAGTTGTTGCCAACAACTATTATAAGATTTGCAACACTTTGAGTACCTTCACAGAAAGCCAGTGTAGAAATTTAATTAATACATGTACAGAAAAAAGCTGGTAGTTCCCTTCCATGCCCAAATATCAGCCACAGGTTTCCAAAAAGAGAAGCACAAATTAATTCTACTGTTCATTCAACACCAGGTCACAAGTTCTCGTTTGGAAAGACTTGGGGAGTAAGCACCAGGAACCCTCTGTCTACAAGAACGAAGAGGCCTTTTGTGTGGACATCCTGTATGTGAACATGGCTGATGCTGTTGGAAAGGGGCACGTGTCTTCTCATACGGCATTCATGAAGTTGCATCAGTGCAAGCAATGAGCTGACATCTGCTCCTAAACCTATTAATTTCGCTCTGTGATTTCTGGATGTATAACTATAAGAAGATAATTTTTCCGTTCTCTACCAATGCTATGCCTATGTCTGTGATTACAAGAATAAGCACCAATGAGTCATGCTACTAGAATACCACTCACTAATGCAAAAGCTTTTTACTGAAATCACGTTTTGCAGATTTTCACTGCCTCCATTGTTATTCCAGCAGTGGCAATAGTGGAGTGCAGGGATATGGGAGGAAAAGGAGGAAATAAAGATGCAAATCTGTAGGTTGTTTATTAATAAAGAAATTGCAAGTCAACATAAGGAATCGTTCTTTAAAACTACCCAAACATGGACAAGACAAAGGCTGGGAAAACTGTAGTGCAAAATTGTTTATTAGCTCTCCTAATAAACATCTCTCTACCAACATCTAGTGAAATTTCACTCAACAAGCCCTGCCATCAAGAAAAGCTCTTCTGATGTCTTTGACACATATATACAACCTACTGAATTTTCAGATATAATTTACTTTTAGAAAACAGCCTGTTTCATATTCATTCACCTCTTAATTCCATGTTTTGAAGGTATATACCAACCACCACCCCCTTTGATCCTGAAGTACCTCACAGCTTATGTAATTAGCTTAACACACAACCCTATGCTAAACTGAAACAAGTCCTACAACTCGAATCATCCTGCAGCCATGGCTGGGGAATGCTGGGGTTCATAGATTTAGGTCTAGGCCTGCATAGGATCATTAATCTTGTCTCCTAGGAGTGTCTGTATCAGCCTTCCCATTCTGGTGCCTTCCAGATGTTTTTGGCCTACAGTTCGCATCATCCCACACCACTAGCTATGCGGGCCATTGCGGCTGGGATGTGTGGCTGCCCAGATGCTTTGGCCTACAAGCTGCTTGCTCAATGGTATCTTCTCCTACCTTTTCTTCCACCAAGATGCCTGCTTATCCTTTCTTCTTCTCCTTCCTTTCATTGGAAATTTGCTTACTGGCATCTTCCTTTGTAACTGCCCATTTTCTCTCCGACTGCAACTTGTTTTCCCATTCATAAGGATTTTTGTTCAAGGATAATTGTGAGTTAAGGTGAGCAATGGTTTGATGCTCTTTGGTTCCCCTTAATATTGTACCAACTAATTTGTTCAACAATACATTATATTTAAACTGTTGTAAAAAAAAGGAACAAAAAACACAACTTCCACAAGCTTTTCATTATATATATTAGTTGTGTCCTGCATAATGCTGGTGGGAAAAGCATACATTGTGCAAGCACTAAAGGAACAACTCACACAGCTAGTGCAAGCAAAACCTAAGGCAATGGGTGAAAATGCTTGTGCAACAGCTTGTAGAATTGAATCAAAAGTATAAAGCTTGGTACTTGTACAAGGGTGGAAACAGAAGTTCCACAAATGATGGAAGCTTCATGACAGCACTGGATACAATCCATGCTTTGCAAACTTAAAAATCCTGCTAAGCTTCTAATTTTCTTACTATCTTGCTGCATTCCAAAACCCTATTCAAGATGTGCCGCTTTCCCAAGATAATTAGTAGCATGCCTGACACCTTCTCAGCCTGTTGAAGCATGCAATTGTATTTGCTAGAAGAATGCCATTCCCTCTTTCTGCAGACCCTCGCTCATTGGATTGACAAACTTTGACAAGTTATTTATCCTTGCAATGGTTATCTATCTCTCTGTGAATTTGCTCCTTTAAATGACTCAGCATAATAATCTTTCATTACTGAAGGGACATGGGAGGATGGAGTGCCTGGGATGAGCAAAGATGACTCATGCTGCCCTGGCACTATCTCTTGAAGCAGCTGAGCCTCCCTGCATTGCTACAAGGATCCTCCTGTGAGGTAACCCACACCAATTTGCTGCTTCTATCAGTAACTGGCAAGGTGGTTTTAATCAGGCTTCCTGAACCTGGTGCCCTTCAGATGTGTTAGACTGCAACACAGTAAGGCCCAGCTGCTTTATAGTGCATCACAGGACCAGGAGGTGGGATATTTTTGCTGGCCCACAGCAGCCTATCCTACCCATGTGGATTTGGTCTTTAACAACCTAGGAAAAAATAGGTGCTTAGTAACTTGTATGCATAAGCAAGCACAATTTATGACATTGCACACCATCATTGATCTACATTGCACAACTGTAGAGGCATCAAGCTTTAGCTTTCAGTTTTCCGGGTTTGTGGAGCTACCCTGGTATTGAGGTAACCATTAATTGGGTCTTAAACCCACTGGTTTTTTTAAACATCATTGCATATTTAAAACAGAGTTGCATCCAAAATGTGTTTTCCTTTTGCTGATGTTTCTGATTGTGGATGGGCTGTTATACATACTGCACCAGAGCACATGTATAGGGTAAAAGAAATATGAAATACAGAGTTCTTCCACTTGCACAAGAGCCTGTGAAGCCTCTTGTGCAAGCAGAAGGATCACTGCAACAGAACCTATAGAGCGCTGTGCAAACTACTGCGAAGGTATTTCTAGAATAGCACTAACAAGTGTTTTCTTCAAAAAATGTGATACATCACCACGTGTGCTTAAAACTTGCATTTGTATGTCTGTCTTCCTGAAATATAGCTATTTATCCTGGTTATTTTTTCCTGTGATGAACTTATGAAACATAGATTTATAAGGCCTACCTTATAATCCATTCCTTCAAAGATCTTGGTGATATATATATATATATATATATATATATTGCACCTCTCACACCTGACACATTGAACAATATTGGACCATAATTTATGAAGTTGTTACCTAAAGCCTTCATTTTTTCCTGTAACTTAACCATATTCTTTCTTTCTTTTTGGATCTTCGGTGATCCCGCAACTAAACAGAAGTACCTGCACAACTTGGACTCAGACTAGTGGCAAACAGCATATTCTTCAAGGTGGCCAACACCAGTTCCCTGTAGCTTTTTAGAGAACTTCATAATAGTCTTAATCCTGAAAAACATTAACACTCCTGCCTTTTCTTCTTTCTTACTAACTCTTGAAGTAATTTTCAACCCCCTCTATAGTGTTGCATGGTTTTAATCATATGAGTACTTCAATATCAATGCTAAAGCAACCTAATTAGAGGCAGCTCGGGGCTTCATGGGCATTTATTTATGAATAGATAAAATATACCAAATAGAATGTATCAGTATAGCTGATCAAGAGCCATGCCAGCTATGGGTTTGAATATTTTAGGTTCAACACACATGGCAGATCATACTCCCAATTTGGTCAGAGAAAATCCTGCTTTTTGGTAAATAAAGTAACTCTCTTCCAAACAGATGAAGTTTCAATTCTTTATTTTTTAAATTGAAATAACAATATACATCTTGTAATCTTAAAATTAACACATATTTGAAGCACAGTACTAAAACTACAATGCATTACCGAATATAATGTACGTAAGTTGCATAAAGCATCTTCTGACTTGCTAAATCATAAAGGGAGGAAATCAGCCATCTTGATACCATACAGCAAGAAATGTCTCCTCTTGTTATCACCACCACAGCTTGCAGAAAGTGTTCGGTTTGAGCAAATACTGCTCTGTAATGTAACTCCTTCTGAACTGAGGGAACACAAAACCTTTACTCCTCTTTGTTCTGAGTCTCCCTCCAGATCCAGCTGCCAAAAGTTAGCACACTACACATCTGAAAGTATTTTCTTCACTATACATGCAGGTAATAGGGAAACAGTAATTTTTACAAATGGATTCCTGATAAGGCTCCAAGTGTATTTGTTCTTGCTGTTGCGCTATGTACATGCAGTCCCATTTGTTTGATGAGCTGTGTCTCACCTGAAGCCAGAATGGATTTATTCATCTAAATTCTCCTTGAGTGTAGAATTGAGAATCCTGTTGTTGAGATTTGATTTCATGGCCAGTTCTTTCTGTAATGTTTTAAAGAAACAGTTATATCCCTCTTTAGCAGGAAGGCACTGCGAGAGCAAACGCAGAAGTGACAGAGCAACCTTGTATCGCAGTACCTTCCCCTTCATGCTTCAGCTATGCCTAGAAACTGGAGGGCCACACATCTTCATTGCTGCCCCCAACAGACCAACGTGCTGCACAAAGTTTTACTGTGCCTGACCACTCAACCTAAACAGAATCTGAAGCCTACAAAGATCTCACTATGAAAACCAGTCATGCCAATCCATGCACTTCCACTGATAACAGTCTGAGTGAATTCAGTGCGTGCAGGATTGCAGCCTAAGCGGCTTAGTAGAATTTAACCTATGATTAGCCATTTTTGTCTTCACTTTCTAAACTCTGGTTGAGACATTTCATGATGATTGCTGACAGAATGCACCCACAACTATGTTGAAGGTTCTGTCAGCACCACTCTATACTAGTTCAAATAATAATTTGGTCTTTGAATGTTAGACCACTGTTACTTTCAGTTTAATTTCCTGCATGGTGCTTAAAGTATATTTCACCATAGTTAAGCTATTTAGCTCATTCCTTCAATCCCAAGACTGCACTCTTTTATATGGATTCTTTTCATCTTGCCAAAAGCAGTACCTCATTTTAACCAAATTATGTGCATTCTCTACAATAATCTTCTAGGTGCAAGCCTGTGCATTGCTAGACAGAAAAATTGTCTGACAACCACCTGTGTACCCCAGCCTACCATGCTGAGGAATGCAGGTATTCGTGGTGTCACGAATATAAGTGAGGAAGCTCCACCAAAGTCCTCAGGTTATATGTATGTGATTAGTGAACAGGGCAGCTTGAGAAAGGTCAATAAGCAAAAACAGGGATCTTGCACTCTAAGACTATAGGAAGACAGAGAAAAGGGAAGGAGAGTTCAAGCAATAACAAGGGATTGAGCCAAACATCTAAAATAGGAAACAGGCAGGTTTGAGAAGGGATTTCAAGGAAAAGAAGTAACACAAGGTACATGTTCAGGGAGGGAGCCCATGAGGCAGGAATGGTGGAGACATGAGAGAGCAAAGAGAGCTTTGGTGAACTGAGTAAGGCAGACTGAACAGCAGAAATCATAGGTGGAAAGAACTAAATGTTAATAGGAGTAAGTAGGCTGAGAAGACCTCTTTAAAAAGGACAGGTCAGCATGCCTTGGATATTAGAGGGACAGGGTTGGCAATGGGTATCACATGGCTGTAAAAAGGGATTGCATAGTCTGTCACGTGAAGGCAGTAAATGATCTTAGACAGAGGTGAGAGGGCTGCAGAGTAGCCCCACAGAGAAGCTTATAATAGTCAAGGTGGCATGTAACCAGAACATGTGGAGGAGCTTTAGCTGGAGTGGGCGGTAGTTAATGAAAGAGACAGTGGCATGAATGAATACGGTACCGAACAAGGCAGAAGTGAGATGTTGATGTGGTTGGGGACAATGCTTACAATCTTTCCAATTTTGTCCATGTAAGAATAATAGGCATAACCTTCTTGGGCCCATGGGCATATTTGGCAGTTTGAGAAGTTGTGGGGATCATCAGAAAATGGCTTTCAAGGAAGGCACAGCTAGTCACAAAAGGCAAGGAACCTGCCAAAGAGACTAAGTGCAATGCAGAAATGAGTTTGAACCATAGCACACTAAACAACTTCCATTTTCCATCTCTGTCCCTTGGTGGCTGGAGAGGAAAGCACTGGTTTACAGAATCACTTGAACTGGAAAACGCAGCTTGTTGTGGTACGGAGGCCAGAATTATAGAGACCCTTACCACTCCTGCCAAGCAGCCAACCAGAGTGCCACTGGCAGCTGCCGTGGGGTGCAACTGTCAGTGGTGTCCCCACTTCTCCTGCCCTACGGCTTCTCTTCGGGACAGGAGCAGGCAACCAGCTGGTCAGCACTGAGACGAGCAGCACTGCTTCGTTGACTCCACTTGAGTGGAGCGGCAAGAATCCACTGGGCAGCAGCGCCTGGCTGGCGGCTGTGTGTGCAGCGCATGCCCACTGTGCTGCCCCTCTCATCGGAGTGGCTAGGTGGGGGCGGCCCCCAGCTGGGGAGCATGTGCCGCAACGCTTCCTCCCAGGTCAGTCCTCCTTCCTTGGGCAGCAGGGTGAGAGGCGGCTGGGCCAGGGCCCTGGCCAGGAGTGGCATGCCGCAGTGCATCCCCCTTGCCTCCACCTCCTCAGTCTGGCTTGCCAGAGAGGTGCCCCCAACCCAGCTTGGGAACATCTTTCGGCAAGCCAGAGCAAGTAAAGGGAAGCCAGTGGCTCACTCGCACGGCCGGGCAGCAGTGATGAGGGGGAGGTGGCATTCTTTCCAGTCTTTGGGGGCACTTCCCTGGCAAGCCAGGCCGAGAAGAGGGGGCATGGGGGAGATGCACTGTGGCACCCCCCCAGTGGCTTCTCGCCCCGCTGCCCAAGAAAGAAAGTGGACCCCCCGGGGGATGCACCACCTCACTAGAGGCTTCCTGCCCTGCTGTTCACATGTGCGAGAAATTTTGCTCAGGCCCTCCTGCACTGCCCAGCTGATTCTTGCAACGGTTGCCTACGTAAGGAGTGGGCACCCCTGTCCTGCTCAAGGAGCCCCTCTGCAGCAGGAGGGGAATGCTCCTGACCAGCTCCTAGTCCTCTCTGCTATGCTTCAGGGCATGAGCCCGTCTGTGCAGCAAAGACTGCCTGATAGCCACAGCGAGCCCAGCTTGGCTCAGGATCACAGCTATCAAAATGGCAGATGGGAGGAGGGTCAGCACCATGAGCCCGATGGTCCTTCAGGCACATCCACACAGACAGAAATGCACATGCGGGCAACCACACGGTATTACTGCTTGTGACATGAGACCTCAGCCGTGGAAGAGCTGAAGGTGGAAACCGTAATGATGGCAAATTACGGAATTGTCAGAACGTCACAGCATGGTGAACAACTTTGTTTTATCAACTGAACATGTTTTGTAAGTTAGAGACTTATTTATGTTTAATTATATCTTTATCCTGCCCATTTTCCTGCAAGGAACCGAAGGCAGCTTATATAACCCTTTCCTTTTTACCTGCCAACCTGCAGTTTCTTTCCAGGTGTGTTTAAAATTACTGGCTCTTGGCCTACCAAAGTGCAATCCAATGCATGCTTAGACAGGAAAAAAGTCCTACTGGGAGTTAATAGGACTTTTTTTCTGGGTAGAAATGCATAGGATAGTGCCCTAAAGCCCTTGAATGGGTTGGGATCAGGGAATGTGAAAAATCACCATATTTATGAACTGGCCCTTAAAATCATAAATAATGTAACCCACTGCCCAGTTCCTACTGCCCCAAACTTATGGCAGTTGGTTAAGGGTATTTTCTGTGGATAGTCTGGGGAATACTCTCAGAAAAAAAATGCAGCCTTTTTTCTGACACCCGGTCAAAACCATCCTGTTTTCTAAACATCCAGATGACGTTTTCTTATTATGTATTGCTGCTACGATTCCTCAGGCTGGATTGGTTGAGTGCCTGGATGAACTTGCTTTTATTCAGATTTTATTATTAGTGTTTTATTTCTGATTTTGTGAGCTGCCCTGAAGCCTTGCTAGCCGAAATGATGAGTATACATTTTTAAAATAATGGGTGGTGATATTCAATATGGTTGCCCACAAGCCTTTGAACTTGAAGGATTACAGATATCCAATCAAAGATGGAAGGGATGTGGAAGTGAAAATCACCTCTGTCCTTCCCTTGCTCTGCAAAACACTTGAGATGGCTTCACTGCTGCCTGTGAAGAGGAGGGGCTGAGGTGCACCAGGACACCTCACATCCCTCAGTCCTGCCCTCCCTACCCCTCTGAAGCATCCCTCAGTAGCCACTCAGGCATGCGTCTTCTGACTGGAGAGCCGTGAGTGCAGAAAGAGCTGCGCTGGCTGCGAGGGCAGAAGGAAGGTGCTTCAAGGTCGGAGTTCCAGCTCTGACCTCAGAGTATATTTTTCAGGGTGCAGCTGGGGAACGCCAACCTTTCCTTTGGCTGTCTAGAAAGCATCTACAGCTGCTGGATTGCACTTCTACTAGAATGAGGCAGACAGTGTGGTACCAAAGGAGAAAGTATGCAGAGTTGCAAACAACCAACAGTAACTCCAGAGTGACTATGGCAGATTGGAGGTAACAGCCTGAAGTCATAAGTTGGAGGGAAAACGAAGTGGGGGGGGGGCAGCTTCGATCATGAAGTTGTACAATCAAATGCTTAAAACACCAAAGAGCAAGGTAAGGACAATGCCAGAAAAAACCAACACAATCCAAGTCAGATAAGGAACATGGTAAGGGTGCTAGACTGACAGCACACCAACAGGAAATTGAAGGAAGACTAGAACTGAACCAAAGGAGTGCTGAAGCTTCAAAAATAGAGCAATTAGGGGCTGAAGGAACGGACAAACTTCACTACCATGGACATCAAGGTGTGTGCAGGTAAGGGGGCAGGAAGGAGAGGCCTCTGAACAAGGGGATAGCAGTAGCAATACTGGAAAGAGGTTGTGGAAAATGAGATGGCATTCTGGAAAGATATCATGCAAGTGCCATGATACTTGAAACAAACACCACAAAGATACAAGCACCAGGGTTGGGAGCCTGGAAACCTCAAAGAAGGGACATGGAATGAGAAACAGGAATGGGGCAAGCAGCTGGATATCATCAGCTGCAACTTTATAGGAGGAAGAGAGAGGTCCAAAAAGGCACTCAGCTGGGGACTGGGCAGCTGGCAATGTCAGTGAGGGGCATATCATGCAAAATCAACATTTTGCCTTGGAAAACAAGTGGGTGCAAGAGCTGATGCTCTTTATATGCATCCTGAAATATGTGGTATAGGGGAAAATATAATGGTAGAAAATATGTTTCCTATAGTAACCCAGTTCAGTGCAGTGGCTTGTGTTGGACTAGGTTTGGTGAGAGGCCCAGGTTCAAACCCTGGTTTAGTCATTAAGCTTTCCAGGTGTCCCTGGATCTGTTACTATCTTTTAACCAAATCTATATCACTAAGGTAAGGATAAATTTGAGGCTCAGGGAGAATTGGTGGCCCTGAGATAATAGGAAGTATACAAAAAGGTGTTGGGGGGGTGGGGAAGCAAAGAGCACTAAAAGCTGAAGGCACGCAGTGCTGTTTTGCAACTGTGGATGAGTAAACTAATCTAGAATTAGCTACCATTTATGGAGAACCTTTCTAATAACTATTTTCAGGTAGGATGATCATCATCCCATGATGCAAGAAAACAATGAGGTCATTTCTTATTTGCTTTCTCAAACACATTTAAGAAAACTTTGAATTCCCATTAAGTCCGTGACTAAACTCTAATGGAACTTGGCTGATCATGGTCAATTTCTTCCAGGACCTCAAGAAATAAAGTAAAAATGCAGTTGTATGCATGTTTAGCCAGGAAAAAAGGCAGCAACTGAGCATCCTGGCTTGGGTATGATGGGGAACTTGTACGCCTTTTATATCTGGTCAAACTTGCATAGGATTGCACCTCTAAACACTTTGCTTTTGAACTCTGGAACAGCCACCATTCCCAATAATGCTATGCAATAAGGAAATACAGGTTGAGACATACCATGAAATCTGAATAGCTAGGTTGCTTGGTGGATTTGCTTTCCTTGCACTCTTCTAATGGCTGTCGATACAGGGAATCTAGAGGTATGGTTTTGGAAGGAGTCTGCAAAATGTAATTATAAATACACACCTGCTTGTCTCAAACTTCATTAAATACAAAAGACATCTGATCTAATGTGGCTCTATCATATGAGTAGAAGGGAAAGCTGCTACAGCTAACACAGAGAAATTTCCTCCCTATGCAAGTGCTTCCAAATGGTGGCTCTTTCCTCTAGTTGGAGCTCTGAAGTTCACACATTTCCACATTTTTGCTCATCATCCACACTATCCAGCGTAGTTGAGTGCTTCTAACTCTTGAGATAGCTTTTAAGCTTTGCCGTATTGTTGTGCAACTAACTGCAGCGTGGCTCAATAACTGAGACATTGGCTTAGCTTTGCTTACAGTCTGCCACCAAGTCTTTTATCAGCAAATCCTGCTGAGATTTTCCCTTTGGCAGTTATACTGGATTAGGCTTTATTCTTGCCTCCATTGCCTTTACTGTATTTATTGAACTAGCAAGAGTCTTCTTTGATTTCCCACAGATGTCCCTGCCCTCAATATTTGTTTTCTAAGTTTTCCACTAAAGTCTTCCCTGTACTCTTTTGTACCTTACACCATTTTGTTGTACAAGGTCTTGCTTTTGAATGGCATAGTGGCTTTTTGGGGAAGATCTTTCTCACTAATAGAGCATGACAAAGACAGTTCCTCTCAAGGGCCAAGAGTGCCAAAGCCAAATTTGCAACTTGCAGGATTACTGCAGCATGCTGATTTCAATCCTTCATCACTTTGCAGGGTCAGTGTAACATTAAAATCTTACTTTTGAAAATGGGGCAAACACTCATTGCTGTCACAATGCAAAAGTGCTGGGAACGGCATCCATGGCTCCAGTCCAATTAGCTTTCTTTGCCTCATGGGCTGCTCTTTGAATGCCAGCTGGCATCTGTGTTAAACTTCCCATTAACATTAGCCCACCACACAAAAGCAACTGCAGTCGTAGTTATCCAGACACATTTGGCAATCTGGGAAACTGTCCCAGGGACCACAATATGACCTCGGAGTCCACAGCACCACTTTTTCCTGGTGCCCTTGAGTGCCACATCACTTGCCCCTCAAAAAAGCAGATGAACCTGAGATGACATGCAGTGTTCACCTTATTGTAGCCATGCTTACAAACAAGAGGTTTAAACATGTTATACACCAAAGTCTTTGGAGGCTGCAAGAAAAAACTGGATGCCAAGGGGTGCCTACAAATCACAGGCAGCCCCAAGCCCATTCTAGCCCCTGCAACCAATGGAGCCGGCATCATACCAGCAGATACCCCAGTCAACCCTTAGGTGTGAAAAGGCTGCATGCACATGATTCAAAATAATGAATCTCAAAGAAAACGGTGAAGAACTGGTGTTTTACCCTGAACCATTATTTTCTATACTTACTTAAGGTGTGTTCACTTTTGCTCTTGTGGTTCATATTGAATTTGCACTACAGAAGCAAATCAGTAGGGGGTCATTTGTTATCTGCACTTTTCATTCCCACAAACCAAGATGACTTTGTTTGCACAGAATGCTAATCCCTGGATTGAATGCTGGGTTGTTCTTATATGTGAACCCAGCTGCACAAACCATGGTTTGTTAACCATGAACCACCCTGCAACCTGGTTCAGATGTCATAGTTCATCACAGGTGCTACTTCATGTATCCTTCCCCTGCTCACCAGTTGTCTTGTCATGTCATGTGAACTCGGTAAGTGTGGGTTACATGAAAGTGAAACAGACCTTGCAGAATCCATGGTCTGTTCTAAGCCATGCAAACTTGCTGGGTAGCTGGGTTTGCACACATAAGCCTTGAACAGGGGATGGATAGGCAAAATGGTGGCCATATCTGCTCTGGAGCCTCACTAAGGGTTAAATAACCCCAAATGGGTGGTTGTGTTGTACAAACCAGCCCAGAGAGAAATGCCATGGAATTTATAGTTGGGTTGTGATTGCTGGGTAGTTTAAATCATGGCTTGTCACCAAAAAGGAATGTAGAATCTTGGGCTGTTCCACAAGACTGGTACCAACCTCCCCCCTCAACAAAAACCCTACCCATTCTTCATGTCAGTGCTAGAATACTGCAAAAGCATTTGGGATACAGGGAGAAAAAGGACAAGGGAGGGAAACCAAACAACCCATGGTCTGGGAAAACTAACCACAATTTATCTGATCATCTGCCCACCAAACCCTGGATATGATTTATTAACAATCTTTATATATAATTTGAAACACATCTGGAAAGATACAAACAAACAAATAACAAAGTCCACCCACATAAAATAGTATTATGAGGCCAGTACATAAAGACAGACTGCAGTTAGGGTAAAGCCAAAACAAACAGATATATTTTAAATTAACACCTCAAATATGCCAGTGTTGAGGCCTGATGTGCTTTGGAGGGGTAGAGCAACAAACTATAGATTAATATGCACAAATTAGGTCAATAACACGGCTTTCATTGAACAGTAGCAAAATCCTCTTTAACATTTTTGCTAGGTTCAGAAAGGTGCAAGTTTGTAGTTTTCTTCCTTTGAAGGAAGTCTAATTCCCTGTTTATGGATTAAGGTTCAAATCTACCCAAGTTCTCATTCACAACAGCCAGCACCAATCCTTGTTTACTTTGAAAAGGTAAATATGGCAAATAGTTTTTTTTAAGTCTTTAAAAAAAAGTTTTCCCCTAACACTCTTCTTTGCACTGAAGATTATCTTGTCAAAGGGAACTGTGAATGGTAATGATAAACTTAAGCACAAAACACAGGGCTCACGATTAAAAATGTTCTGTTATGACATTTCTTTAAGTATTTGTTCAGTGCTTTACTGGATTTAGTGACTTGGGTCAGAGCTGGCAAACCTCTCTTACAACTCAGGTTCAAGTATTAGATGGAGCCTTTCAATCTCAATCTCTCTCTCTCTCTCTCTCTCTCTCACACACACACACACACACACACACACACACCCCTTTTCCCAACATTTTATAGGGAGGGATCCCTTGCCTCTGGTCTGCTGAGCCAAAGAATCAAAGCAGCAGTACTACAGAGCAAAGGCCAAATTGTCACACTGCATCTCATATGATCTGCTGATTTTTCAGAAATGCCTCTGCTTTATTTTAAGAACTCCAGCAAGTTTGCCAAACTTTATAAATATACACATTATCATCCTTTGAGAGCCAGAATTGGTCTTGGGATCTCTATTATTAGTTGTTTTTAATTGTTTTTACATGTAAATGTTTTATATTTTAGACTGTACTTTTTAAGATTTTAATCCTTTGAAAATCACCCAGGATTGAATTATATACGATAAAAAGCAACTTGATTAATTTTACTTACCTTGGTTTGAACTGACAGCTTGCCAGCAACAGAGGTGCTGTTTGCTATATTACTGCAGCTGCTTGCTTTAAGTATGGTTAAGTTAGAGGCTACCTGCAAAATACAATTCCCAGCAGAAATATGAAGGTCACAAAGACCTCAGTAAATAGCACATTGAATTTTCTTGGAATAAAAAGCTATCATCTTCATGAATACATTGTTAAGAGATGTTAAGGATTAATTGACTCTGACAGTGGCTTGTGACTTGGACTACCTGGCAAAGCTTATTGAAAATGCTTCACCTCTGCATTCCTGGATGGTGCTAGCTTAGCTGCCATTGAGCTACAGTTGTCTAATAGTTTCAGTCACATATTTCTGTTTTGAAAATAACAAGAGGTTTTCAAGGATCAGCTCCCATCTTAGGTATCAAGCCTGTAAGTTTGTGTACCCTATGATATAGGCAGACTTCAGGCTTGCAGAATCTACTTAATGTTTTATTGCAATCCTAAGATCCACCAGAGACAGATGTAGAATTGTGGCACATTAAAAAAAAGAATAGGTTGCCTCTGAGCACATCCTCAAACCAGGCATTTATCATCCATTTCAGAATCAAGCTCACAACTCTCTTCACACATAAAATCCACTCCTAGTTTCTCCTGAAGTGAAGCAATCTAATTGTTTTGGGAAGAGCTTTCTAACATATGTTACATATTATATCCTATTGATTGCAGATAACACAGAGATTTACTGGTAGGTCCTGATCTACTTTCTCTTGACCCATGCTATGCAGAACAGCTCATTGCTTGCTTAAGGATAGCACTACAGCTTAGAACCAGGTTAGCACTACAAATAGCAGGAGTTAGCTGGAATCTGGTCTATCATTCAAGTAGTAGTAACTTGCCCCTGCATTACCCACATTAATACCAAATCATATTTAGACTTACCTGGATCTTAAAGAAGTTGTGGAATATTGCCTATTAGGACATATCATGCTACTAAGTTACCTTGAGCACTCTGCAATCATTATCTCTGTTTCTAAATGGCGCATGTACAGATTCCAATCTACTGTGCTCACTTAAAGCTTCTGGGTTAGGAACATCTACCTACTTGGACTTGGTTTCTGTTGAGTTTCTTCCTACAACCCAACTTAGGTAAGGAGTGGCAGGCAGAGATGGAGGAACCCATCTCTTGAATACAGCTGTTGCAAGAACCCCCCACGAACAGGCTGACTCAGTGGAGGGTCTATGAAAACTAGGTGGACATCTTTCCCGAGGGAAATTTGGCACAGAAGTGCTTCAGACTGAAAAGGGGGGGAATCAACCCATAGAAGCATATCTTTCCCCACAGAGTGAGAAAGCCATGTTGACAGTTTGGAATTACGGCACTGTGTTTCTGGCAGAGAAAAACAACTTGTACCTGAGCTCAGCTATATGCAGAAGGTTTCAATCTGAAGAAATGCACCCTATCTCTATCAGGTATTTTTTCAAACAGAAAAGCAGTTATTCACCTTGCGTATCTTTTTAGGAGTTGGCGTGTTCACACCTGCAGGCCTTTTAACAGCTGTTTTTGAAGTAACAGATTCCTCCTTCTTCACTGACTAGAAGATAAAACATTTTTAATCCAGTCAACAATAACCTACTGAACTATTATTAGGAGATTCTCCATTGCTTCTCTCTGAAGCCAGTCAGTTTAGGAAAGTTGAACCAACAAACAGTAAAACCGGACCAAGCAATAGTTCCATCCCAACACATCCAAGAGAAGGTCACTGTTTAAAAACACAAGGCCCTCTGTCAATGGAGCAATCTTGAGGAATGCCCCTCTGCGCACGTCTCTAACGTAAGCTGGCTTTCTCATACATGCATGTGCTGAGCAGAGCTGTCAAGCGCAGGACGTTTAGAGGTCATTCATTCATCAGCTTGCCTGAAGTTGGAGATTACATAGCAGCACCCAGCAACAATATAGCCAAGCCAATATAGCCACAACCAATGCTGGAGATTGTTTAAAAGTATGAGCACTGATTTATATTTTAGATCCTACCCTACCACCGAAAAGCCTGCAAACGAAGACCATAAGCTTTCCCGCCAAAGCCACAGGAAGCCAATGCTTACGTGCCGAGGCAGCCCTGGGAGAGAAGGCTCCTGCATTCTGCACCCACTGAACAGGTAATCGCAGCTTGCTCGTACTGCCTCCCCTTCCCCTCACAAGCGTATTGCTTTGTACAGCCTGCGACCTTTTTGTGACAGGGCTCATCCGGGGCCTCAACGTCCTCACTGCTTCCCTCACAGCAGCTACCCCACCCCCAGTCAGCCTGCTACTCAATCAGCACAAAGGAAAAGGAAACATTACATCGGGAATGAGAAATGTATGGGGAAAATGTAAAGCTTCTGTGCTTTCACAAGGATGAACGCTTGTATATGGTGACCCAGCTCATTTGTCAGATTGAATCGTAGGGATATGCCCACAGTCATCACAGGGCTAGCATGGACAGACTCTTGCTCTGTCCTGTAGACATGAAGGGATGGGCTACTGGAACATGCGTCTGCTCCCCTCCAGTCCCTTCCACTTAGTGATAAACATTGGTGACCAACTGTGAGCTATTCCTGTAACCAGCTTCAAAATAGTTAGAATTTGACTACGGGACTAATTCAATAGCAACCAGAGGGAAGAAATGACAAAGAAGATGCAGCAAGAAAATCCAATAAGGTGCAACAGTTGAATTGCTAATACAGCTTGCTGATCTTCTTGATCAAAGGGATTTGCTCAACTGTGAGTCACATATTACACCCCCCTATGGTAAGATATATATTGGGAAGTTATGCCTCCAAACATAATAACACTTGCATTAAATAACCTCCTGCATTCTTTTAAGTGACTTAACCAAGTAAAAACTTACAATTTTGGGTTGATCTTTTTTAACTTTGTGATGTTGCAGCTGATCAGCCATAGAACTGAGAAACCGCTTACTCTTGATAAGGAAGTGTGAGCTATTTTCCTTCTCCCAGTCTTCAATACTTTTCTTCAATTCTTCCCCCAACTAATTTTTGCAAAAGGAAGTTTTAAGCGTCAATTATTTAGGATGCAATCCCAGGCAAGTTTAGACAGGAAAGTCCTACAACAAGCTGGCTTGGACATGCTAGGAGTTGTTTCGACAGAAAAGAGTCCTACATGCATAGGATGGTGCCTTTAGTTTCAGGAAGACTCTAAACTGTCTTATGCTAAGACTGTCTGAATATTCTACTTTGTAACAGGACTTACTATCCCCCATCTATTCAACTAACACCCAAATAATTGTAAAAATGTAAAGTAATTTAAGATGTCTATTTCAACTTTGTCTGCAGTTAGACAACTGTGTTCTACAAATGGGGAACATATTTACTTAGCCAAGGAACCACCAAGCATCCCAACAAGCCCTTTGGATATTATGCTTACATGTTGTACAGTTTGTGCTCTTTACATTTCAGCTTGTGTACAAAAGACACTTCCAGTGCTTACGAGATGATGTTATATGTGACAGTGTAGAATCCAATTTGACTATTATCTCCTCTATTACAGAACTGTTTTAACTTATGATCGTTACTCAGATTTTTTAAAATATACAGATGTTTACCTAGCCTCTCCCCAGCCATGCAATACACAAATGGAAACATTACACAAAATGTAACCTGGCATTTACCTTTAACAACTGCTTTTGAATCTTTGTTCTTTCCCTTTCATCCTTGAGTAAGTTACCGCCTCTGTTTAGAAGTCTGCTTGGATCTGTTGATTTTTTCTGAACACAGACATGGCACAGATAGGTTACACAACTAATATCTAAGTATTCACTTACTATAGAAGGCAATTCCAAAACCATCACATTATCTTCTACATTAGTACCAACATAAATATGCAACTTCTGAATGTTTCCTGAAGAAAACTTCTGGCACTCCTTTAGTGCTGCTGCCAGATTGTGGTTGAGTCAACTGAGACCCTGGATACATTTCCTGAATGCATCAAGTAATCTTAGAATTTTTATACTATAGTACTATTCAGTTAACAGAGGTAGCAAGCAACTCAAATAAATCAGAGCTGTTAAAGGAATCTGACAGTGACGCATCAAAATATATCTAGGACAAAGTGTTACTTATTCACTGTTATCAGGAATGGTTCCCATAATCATTGCAATACATTTTCCTGATTACCGCACACGTTTTCTCAGATAAGATATTGTACCTGAATCCATTTAGGCATGCCAGATACAAAGAACTGTACATCACCAGGTGCTATGAAGGATTTTGCTTTCACAAGCTGGTAAGGATCTTCACGGAAATGTGGGGAGAGGGATCTGCACTCAAATGATTTGTCAACATTTGCAGCTCAGATCAGCAAGATCAATGATCGGCCGTGTGCTGAAGCTAGTCTCACACATTAATCACAGGTCAAACAAGCAATGTTTCTGAACTCTTGGAAGACCCCCCTGCTGTGTACCACAGGCATGCCCCTCCTCCCTGAACCTGCTTAGCCTCAACCTCGCACTGTACTGATTTTATGTGCTTATCAGTTAGCAATGGACTGCTGGTAACATCTTTGGTTTCAGATTGTATATTTCAGTCAGTTGTCTCCAACTGGTCCTTTCTGATGAAGCACACCATGGATCAGGTTTTGTTCATATGCTCCATTTAGAACCAAAAAGGAATCAAATGGCTGAAACCTGGGTTCATGCCCCGCTGCTCCCAAACAGGCCAGGAATTGCAAGCTGAGTTCTCATCCTGGGTGTCACAAGCAAGAATCCCTGGTTCAGAAGATACAAGGAAGAGTCAAAGGAAAACAAATGGGCCGCATGTGCAAGCACACAAGTCAGATAGGACAATCCAGGATTCTCTAGAAAGCTGGCTTATCATTCTGCACAAATGCAGCTGCTGGGTCCTTTGGATTCAGACCGGAGTGAAATTCAATCTTTCAGTAATACTGGAAAACACAGTAGTACAGTGGGTATGTATAATGGGCTATGGAATGTGCTCCCTAGAGAGGTCTACCTGACACCATCATTATATGCTTTTTGGCATCAGGTCAAGACCTTTTTATTCACCCAATATTTTAATGTTTAATAGATTTTAATTATCTTTATTTCAGTCGTGGCTTATTTAGTTTGGGGTATTTATGATATTTATATTTATATTGCTGTATTTATTGATTCTGTTGTGAGTTGTCCAGAGACCTAGAGTGGTTGGGCGGGCTAGAAAAATCCCAAATAAATAAATAAATAAATAAATAAATAAAATAATGCATGTTTCTAATCTGATGAACACATTACAGACAGTCTTTGCTTTTTGTAATAAGTCCCCATCCTTCAAGGGAAATGTATTGGTTTATGTTTCCCCCAATATGCTGTTTTATTCACTTCAACACATGCTGATGTTCATGAAGCTTCACTGTAAAACAAAGCTTTGTAGCAACTGTAGCCCATGAGATGGATATGGGCCCAGTTCACCATCTGGCCTGCAAACTTTCTTCCCAGGCCATGTCCCCTCTCCCCAAGCAAAAGGTCTTCGTTTGGGTGAAGAGTTGATCAGAGAAAAGACTTTGCCCAGCAGCGAGCCAGGAAAAAGGCTATCTTCCTCAGCCGAGGAGGTAGGGCTGGGAAGTGAATGGCAGAGAGTTGTGTGCATATGTATAATACAGGGAGAAACAGACATGCACAGTTTGGGCTCTGGCCATGTCCCACAGCCAGCATGCAGCCCTTGGGCAGCAATCTGGGCCCTGGGCTGAAACAGGTTCTCCAGTGTTACTGTGACATTTTGTTTCACATTTCTGTATAACCAGATTAAAGGCAGTTTGGAGGGCTGCTAGCAAAAGCTGCAAGATAAATGAACTTCACAGTGCTATCAACTCACCTTCACCCCTCTAGGGATGGGTCCTAATTCAAGATTACCAATCATCCAGCAACTATGCATTTTTGCTGGTTCATATATTTTATCTAAATTATATTAAATTTTGCCTTCTTCAGTTAGATAATTTAAGCATGCAATAGTGCCTACCTCCAGTTCAAAGAATTGACTCCAGATGCCTTCCCATTTGTGAACACTATCATACAGGTGCTTGTTTTTCTCATAAAGATCCTTCATTCTCAGAAGTTCTTCATCATGCTGATTCAATAACTCTTCTGAGAAATCATCTAGTTCAGGAAAGCGAGAGCAGCTTTCATTAGGCACATGGAAAAAGATCAAATAGCGACCAACACCTTGATTGCGACTCAACCATGCGTGATTTTCTAGCATTTTGTTCCACTATTTAGATGGTGATCAGGCTTGCACGATTATTTTGAGTCACAGTGCCTTAAATAAACTACTGGTGGCTTGGGGCACACGTTGGGCACCCATTCCATTACCCAAGCACTGCTTCTGGGTTGCTAGGACATCCAAGCATGACAAGGGTGGGTTGGTGGTATGGTTAACAAAATACGCAGAACCTAATGGGCCACTTGGCACCATCATTGCAGCCTGTTGTGGCTTAAACCGTAGTGGGTTGTGGCACACACAGGCAGCTATTTTGAACCTTCGACTTTCAGTGGAAGGTTGCCATGTTTCTTTCTAGGGTTATCCAGGGGTTAAGTTGGGTCAGGGATTACTGAAGAGTTCCTCCTCCAGCAAGTCATGTCACTTGGGTTCAGATGACACCACAAGCTGTGGCCAGAACTTAAACAGGCAACCAGGTACCCATGGACACCATGGTGTATCAGTTAAATAAGCCACAATGGGCTAAGAATAAGCATGCAAACCAGGTCACCAGGCTAGTTCTCATGATCACTGAATAATTAGTAAGCCATGATAACTTATTTCTCCCTGTACACATCTTGTGTGCATTGGGGATTTAGCATAATCACTGTCAACAGTGCAATTATCACATTGTAAAACTGGGCACATGGTAACATGTCACCTTCACTAGGTTTACATGATATAAAAAGCCACCCTGCCAAGACTAATTATTTTAATTCTACCACCCCTCAGCACAAGCAGAAGGGGAAATACCATAGCTTATTTCCTTTTCTGTGATCATGCAAACTCCATCCTATGGGGTTTATTGTTTCATAGGAACGATAGAATAGCTTTATAGCTTTCAGCCCCAGACCACTGCCCATTAAAGCTGGCAATACCTCATTAACATTTGTATTTTCTATCTAAGGACACAGGCTATAAGGAATTACCATTATAAAAGGACTGAAATGCAGCTCTCTGTTCATCAGTATAAAAGCATTTTTGCCAATAACTGTTAAGTTCTTGCCGGACTTTCAAAGTAATTTCTTTAAGATGCTCTTTCTTCAGCTCTTCCAGGTTCTGCAACTCCTCTTCCCACTATTGAAAACAAAATAGTGAAAGCTATTACATTTAGCAGTATGGCCCTTGCTTTCATTAATGCCAGATAAATACAATTTTGCAAAGCGTTTTCACACTAACTAAAAATAATTCCCAACGGCTGACTATAGCATAAGCTATAACATTGAATGAGGTCAATTGAGGATATCTTTGTAACTTGAGTAATTGAATGCGGCTTGACAGTGGGAGACATTCATGGGAAACAGATTGAACTCTTTATAATATTTTAGTTGGCTTCCACTTCTTCCACACTTAATTTAGTGCTTCTGGTCCCTTTCATATCCTTTAAAAGAAGACTACTCACTCAAAATATATTAAAGCAAGAAGTGAGCTCCAAGCAGAACCATGTGAAGACTGTTCCTCCATTCCCAATAAGCAGGATGAAAATAACTTATTTTAAGTGAGAGCCACAAAACTGCTCTGATTCCAGCATTAAAGCAGACTCAACAGAACAGTGAGCTGGTAAAATTAGTAAATATGAACATATGAAGCACCTGGAACTGATGCCATCAACTTATAAAGTCAGTTCACCACCTTGTAAAGGGGTGGGGTGGGGTGGAATAGGACAACACATGGCCTGCATTCAGCCCTTGCTGTGACCCCATCATTCTCTGCTCTTGAAATTAATGGCAGCCAAAACTTTACCACTTTGCCACCAAAACTGGCAACAAGCTACTAAGCCAACCTTAAATTAGGCAAATCATGCTTCTGATTCCAATACAGAAGCTGCTGTGTTGGAGGTTTACTTAAGAGGTTTACATACCACCAATGATTGGCAGGAAAAACTGGTCAGTGGGTAGGGAGAGATTGTAGCACCTCACAGAATGTGGCCTACAGAAGGATCTGGAGAGCATGTAATAGCCCACACCCATTCCCCACAGTTGTCCAGTTCTAAAGTGTCCAACCAAGATCAATATGTTAGCATGCTTGTATAAATAACAGAAACCACCTTGTTCTCTGGTTAAATACAGGAAGACATATTGTCATTTAATGAGCCAAGCACCCAAGTGGACATCAACTTCAAGCCTCCCTTTTCAGGCAGATGCATTAGGCAGACTGCATTCCAAGTCTAGAAAGAACAAACTCCTTTGTGATTTTTTTAGCATTTTATTTGACCACTCATTTTGCATAGGGCTCCTTCTCTGATTAGTTAAGTGTTGCACATGTTCTTCTACCACAATATTTTCAAAGCAGTTTATTTTTAGATTTCTATCCCACTTGGATCTTATAACGAACTCAAAATGGCTTACATCATTCTCCTCCTGCTCTCAATCTTATCCCCACAACAGCCCTGTGAGTTAGGTTGGGTGGAGAGTCTGTAAGTGGCCCAAAGTCACCCAGGTGGCTCCATGGCCAAGCAAGGACTAGAATCTAGATCACCCAAGTCCCAGTCCCACACTCTTAACCACTACACCACACTGGCTCTCAGCTCTGGCAAATGACAGAGTTCCTCTGCATCTCAAGGGCTCCTACGAATATGGTCAGAGTGGCAAAAAGGCTTCCCTGAAAGTTCACCTTTCATTATTCAATATACAGCCACAGAGTGTTGGGTGCATTTAAGGCTATACTTTGAGAGTTCATGTAGAATAGGAAAGCTGGCATGTAGGCCTGCCTACTTCCTTGCACAGGAGACTGTACATCATATAAAAATGACTCTGACTCTTCTGCCATGTAATAGGATCCCTTGGTAGACGAGTCAATGTAGGAAGAGTTCCCTCAAAGCCACCGGCACAATCTAACAAAATAAGCCTCATAGTGGTTGTTAGCAAACAATGTTCAATCTACTGGCATGTTTCCATGTACATATCAGTACAGTTTAGAAACTACAATCTCTTCTGTGGTGGCAATCAAGAGTATTTAAGGGGAGCTGACAAATTCATGTTATGAACACTGATATCAGAATTCTGTTTCTATTACCATTTTTGTGGCTTCAGAAATAGAACACTTGCTTGTCATTGTTTTGAACTGATCTTGCTTCTCCTGAGGCCACTGAAGTCTGTCCCACAGAATCTGTACCTCTTTCACCAGAACATCCTTAGCAGCAATCAAAGACTCCTTCTTGACCTGCAACTAAAAAGAAAAATCATCATCAATTTCTATTGGACAGTTATGAAAATGGTAGCAACAAGGCAGATGAATTCTAAATTACTTGAACTCTATAACCTCAAGGGAAAGGTAAGTGTGAACCAATATCCATCAGAAATTGGTTTTTTTGGGGGGAAGGTAAATCCCAACATCAGTCCTGATCACTGTGCCAAGTTTAATTGATGGGAGTGTTGCAAGGCTCGTGAACGATCTATAACTTGTTTGCACAGCCAATAAACCCAGGTGATAGCTATGTGTATGCCACGGTTCTGAAAAAGCACAGGATGTGGTACTGGAAATTAAAAGTAACTTTAAAAGCAGCTTTCATGCTGCTCCAAGGTATGAAAGTATATGGATGATGCCTGTGGAAATCTCAGAAGCCAGGATGGGCAGTTGAATAAAATTTCTAGCCATTTATGTTGGAGTTTTAGTATCTTGTTCTTTTCAAGTAGTGGAAATAGGCAAAGTTAATTTCTCCACCTTTTTGACACAGCATTTGGATAGCTTGAGTACAGAATTTGTTTAGCTGCTTTATTTTTTAATAATCCTGATGACAGGTCATCTGATGGGCAACAGTTCATGAATGGAGATACACGTTTTAAAAAAGTGGACATCAACATGCATATTACAACATAATAACTTGTAAAGTGCTTTGATACATTGACAGTTTTCATCTTGGCTAACATGTTAATGCTGGTTGGTTTTCCTCAAAAGGCAATAAATGTGTTTCATTATCAGGTTCTCCAAATATGGTAAGATGAACCGAGTAGCAGGTAAGAGGGGAAAAACAATCATTTAAAGGTATCATTAATAAAACATGCAGTTCAAAGTGCACAGCTCATAGATTAAGTGAAAATTTCCCTGATAATGGGGTGCAGCCACCTGGGACAGTACATTGCCATGGGTAGGTCTCGACTGGCTTAAAACAATGTGAACAGCAGCCTGAGTCATCTGGGTGTAATCTTTTGGTATTCAGAAGTCCAACCTGATGGATAAGCAACTGGAGATCTTCAAGGTACTTCTTTGTAAGGCAAATGTATTCATCTTCCAATAATATATCACTTTCCAATGTCCCATCCGGTGTGTGTCCAATTTCTTTATTATACTGTCTGATTTTTCTTCTTAATTTAAAAAACTCTTCCAATCTTTCCTCCTATTCAAATAAGTGAGTTAAATAGTTGTTTTAAAAGTACTGCCAAATTAAGGAAGTGACTTTTATTTCTTTCATAAAACCCAAGATACCAAGAACATCTAAACTTCAGTTAATCCAACATTTTCCCACAAACAGAATGATGATATTCATAGCACAGGATTCAACAGTCTCCTTCCACTAGAGAAATGGTTCTGGCTTGTTGACTGAATTCCCTGTGCCCACTGCACTCTCTCAGCCAGAGTCCAGTAATGCAACATTGAATTTAAATGCAACAAAAGAACTTAAAACTAGGTTCCTCTATTCAGTAAGATATAAGACTGCACACACTGTCATTTATTATAACAATTTGCTTCATAATTCTCAAAATGTATAGCACCAAACTCTGAATTAAATAAATTCCAGACTGGGTGTTGAAAAGTAAGTGAACAGGAATTAAAACAAAGGAAAAAAACCAAACAAACAAACCCCTTTTTTTTTGTTTAAAAAAGGTGCAGTCCTCATAGCCCATATTGGATTAACTCAGCAATAAGCCAAGCTTTGCTTACATTCCGCTCAAAGTGGAAATAACCTACCTCATTTCATGACCAATCAACATCCAGCCACCTCACCCTTCACCTAACCAGCTGAAGTTTACAGTGCAGATAACCATTGTTGAAGTTTTCAGAGCTCCACAATCACCAGCACAAATTACCTATCAGGTAAGGGAGATCTTTCTGTAGCTGTGAGGTGCCACTTGCAAACTGAAATAATAGAGGCTGCATCACAAAAAGGCCTAGGAAATAGAATACTCAACGCTTACTAGGAAGCCTTGGGGCAAAGGGTCATTGACAATTTTGCAATCCTTTGCCCCTTTTCAAACAGCACAGAGGTTCCCTGCTGTAGGGACTCTTATCTGTGGTGAAGAGCTGGGTTTCCTTTACAACTTCTTGCCTACCTGAAATTCCAGTGGTGCCTTCAGATTCTTCATATGGCCTCAAAATTTCTTCTGGTTATATAATACAATTCTAGGGCTGGCTGGGATGGAAGGAGATGGGGTCTTTTTCTGCAACTTCAATTTTAATCTGAGTCAGTGAAGAATTCAGGGGTTTCATAATGCTCACTTCTTTCGGATTCTATCCGGGAAGTTTCACTGCCATATTTAGTCTTACAAGAAAATTTATGTTTTTCTAATACAAAGACACTCAGTATAATACCTTTACTTTCGAAAGTGCTTGAACATGTTCTTTCAGCTCTTCCAGCTCCAGGGGACTTGGAATACTGCCAGTAGGTACATAGTAGGGGGTAGCACAAAGCTCTGTACATAGTGCCTGGTCATCTTGCTGCAGCTGTTTCAGCTTTGCCAGCCTCTCCTGTTTTTCTTTGAGAGCTTCTTCTAAAGCCAGGCGAAACTCCTTTTCCAACTGAAGGATAGTTAAGCCATCACCAACCTGTAAAATAGCACCAAGTTTTGATACATTTAGCCAGTACAAGTACACTGTGACAGCAGTAGTCAGTTAAGACCAGATTTTGGCAGACTTATGTCGATTTGAAATAGGTTGAAATTTTTTTATTTAAATAAAAACATACTACAAACACGATTTGAAATAGGGTTGGCAATTCAACAGTCAAAAGTATTTGCAGGTTAATTACCAAATCAAACTTTTAAAGAATTATTTTATTAGAACAAAAACCAATGCCAAGAATCATGTTAATTACAATAATTACAGCCTGAGGGTTCCAGGGGCTTCCTTTGCAAAGCAAGTACCCTGCTTTAGCCTGTGATTCTGTGCTAGATGCAGAGGAAAGGAAGTATAGAGACACATGCTTCTTGTCTTTTAGGAGGCCAGCTTTAAGAAATGACCTTCTACCAAGTAGACTGGTAAAGGAGAGAGAGACTGCTCTTCCACCAGCTCTTCTGTGGCTTGGTTCTGTACGGTTCCTTTGTGGTTATTGCTGCACCTTGTATAACCTCAGAACTCAGTAGCAGAGTTCTACTAGTGCCTAGTAGAAAAAGCTAAGCCATTAAATCAGAGAGGAATGCAGAAATACTCTGAATTATACTACAGCATTGCTGTTGCTAAAGACAGAGAATGGCAACTTGCTGTCGATTGCACTTCGTGCAGGAACATACAGCAGGAGACCTAATTCCTGCCACTGCCAGCAGGTAAGGAGCAAAACAGTAGGCAGCCACTTACCCAAAATATCAAAAAGCTCAATTACAGTGGAAAATCTACAGGAAAACACCCAGTGGCCTAAGCTGGAGAGATAAGCAATTTGCACACCCTTTCTAAAATTTAGTAAGGGAGGTTTCAAAACACCTGTTTCCCTTATAGTGCTTGAGGAACTGTGCAGCTCCACACATCCCCAGCAAGAATTGTACTAAGCAAAATCATTGTCGTCGTCCTCAACACACACAAGGAACTGGTAAGTGGAAAAACTTTATGAAAGTGACTGCTCTCTTCCCAGTGTTTGGCTTGTGGTGCAGACACCCACAGGATAATCTGAAGCTCTAGGGAGCCCTTCTGATGGCGACTGATTTACTCAAAAGCATTCAAGGAGGGGCAAGAGATTGAGCTGAGTATTGAGCTCCATCTCACCTCCTTTAGTGACAGATTCAAACTGCGCTCAGTTTGGATGACTAGTGCCATTTGCACAAATCCTCAAGGAAGCCACAGATGCCCAGGCAACAGAGAAGTTGACAGTTTCTCCAAGCAACAAATTCTTCACAGGCTAGGCTGTAACTTGCCAATTTGATGCTGCATGGAATCCTTGTGTTTAACCAGAGCTGATTCTTGTAAAGTAACCACTCTAAATTTCCAGATGAAATGTTATTTCCAGTAAGTGGCCCTAAGGAGAACAAGCCATGAACAAAAACTCATATGAATATAAGGCCTCTTCAGTCTACCTTGGTCAAGTCTCTTGCCAGCGCTCGGTTATCAGGAATAAACAGTTGAGAAGCAACTTGCCTGGTATGGCTCCAGCTTGAGTTCATATCTAAGCGTATTCAACTGATTCCTCTGTTTTTCTATGTCATTTTCAATTTTTTCCTTCAAATTACTTTCTTCCTCGATCATTTCATTCAGCAGAGCCTGTCCATAAATCCACATAAATATCAGTACAGTTTTCTATTAATGTATTATTTGTTAAAACTTTTAGAACTTAAAGCATTGCATACACAGCTAAATTAAGAAACTGTGTCACGCAGATGCCGAGCACACCTACCACGTTATCAGTCAAGGGTGGCATCCAGTGGCTGCCCTTCTGTCAGTGGAACAGACCAATTTTCAGCAATTTGTCCTCTCTCCTGAAACCCCCATACCACTTTTCATTCTGTCCTGAATGAGCCCCAAACATGTTTGATATGATTTGGGAGCACAGGAGAAAGGGAAAATATCCAAAGATCCACCCCTTCCCCATTCTGCCAAAGGATACCTTCCATCAGTGAAGGGGCACCAACTGGAAATCACCTCAGATGTCCACCAGATAAGCTACTACCTCCTCAAAGGCGACAAAGTGCAACTGAGTAGGCTTCCACCATCTAACATACAGTAGCATGTACTCTGACAGCTATTGAAAGACATGTTGATTTGTGCACAATCTGCTAACTGGCATTAATACAAGCTTATAAGCGATATTCTGTCTGGGGCATGTGTTTTGGCTAATTTTCAGGAAACCAGGCAAGAGAGTTGAAAGAAAAAAGAAAATAATGGGGGTTTCCCCTAATTTTCTTTTCAAGTTACTGATGTGTTTCAGATAACAAACTGTAAATATGGTCAGAAAGCTGTACAGCTTTTATGGATCTTGCAAAGCTGCTTAAAAAACTGGGATAACTGACATTTAACTTAGTGATTTGAGCCTTGGAGTTTTTGCAATCAGTCATACTAATTTAGTCTAACACAAGAACATTTGACTGTGCAAGCTATCTATATCATTGTTTATTTATTAATTAAAACATTTCTATGCTGCCCCATTTGCCGAAGCCTCGGCGCGGCTCACAACATGATAACATGTTTAATAAGTGGCATTCTACAGACTAAAGTAAAAATAAAAATATCCCAATAAATTTCTGCACAAAGAAAAGCCAATTGCTTTAACACATATATAGGGTCACTACATTTGGGTTAGCGGAGTGCAAGCAATAATTTATTCTGCTGGTAAAGACAACACCACAGCAGCTAAGGCAGCCCATTCCACCCTCAAGGAGAAAAACTGATTTAAGATTCCTGTTTCTCAAAGAGTTTTACCCATTTGTATTTTCTTTGTATAATTTTCATTGCTACTAATTCTTTTACTGGAGTGGGAGATGGGACACTTTGATGTCCACCTGAATATCGGTATATGAACAGGTTAAACAAATTAATAGATTAGGATTTACTAGATGGGAATAATAAAAGTGACACGTTCAGGTACCTTAGTGTACAACATGGCCCTCTCACCTTCAAACTTCACAGCCACAAGGGCTGGAACGTCTCCAGATGAGAAGGAAGCTGAGTTTTGGGACCACTATCACATCATGCCACAAGAAAGCAATTTGCAACAAGGGTAACCTGCTGGTAGAATTGGATGGGGAGGGTATACTCAATGGATTTTGACACAGAACCATTACATTATTGAGCCATCACACTGCTCCATACCTCAATGTGAGCCTTTGCAGCTTGCATGCGTTCCAGCTGCAATTCTCTGTTGATACCCATTTCATTCCATAAATCTAGCAGTCTTCCCAGAGCCTGGGTCACACTATTGATTAGTGAGGAAGCCAAGAGCTCACTGGATAAGAAAAAACAGAGGATGGGGAATGAGTAATGATAAGATCTTTATTTTACCCAAACTTGTTTCCTACCTAAGAATCCTGCTCAATAATATAATTTCTTTTACTAGTGTTATAATCACTCTTTCTTTTCTGTCGGAAGAGAAAAATATTCCAGGCATGCAGAGAGTTCTTTTTAAAACTTTATTGCAATGCAGGGAACAGAAAGGAATGGTTTCCTTCCCATTTTTCTGTTCATCTGAGCACATGTTCACACACCCCTTTTGAACTCTGCTCCTGGCCGCTTGTTCCCTCCTCCTTTCCCCTAATGGCTAATAGGGTACTGAGAGTTTAGACTCTTTCCGCCCGCCTACTCTGCACTGCCCCAGCACTGGCCCTTCTTCCCAATCCAGCCCTGCCCCTGGTGGGCTACAATAGGCTCATTTTGTTCTGCCCAGCTTGTCAATAAACAATCAGGAAGTATTTGGCCCTCTTGCCAAGTACCTGTTTCCCCATACCTTGTGCTATCTGATTTTAGCCCCTCCCCTCCTTTGGGCTAAGTAATTTTCTTTGTTACCCTTTTAAATCTCTTTACTCCCTTGTTTCAAATCATCCTTTCACACGTATCACTAGGAGATGCCAAGGATTGAATCTAGAACTTCAATACTGTAAACATAAGTTCTGTCACCAAGCTATAACCTTTCACTTAAATAAAACTTAACTTCAAGTAGCATGCATACAACTGTAGCCTTGGGTACTAGTAAATAATGAAAGAACTATTATGATCTATAAGAATTGGTACCCAATCCCCTCCACTCCACATTCGTTTTCTTTTGTATCGTGTCTCTACACTTGTGAGCAGGAACTGCCTTTTTAATTGATTGCATGTAAGCTGCACTAGAAGAATTTTCAACTGAACAGCAGGGTGAACATACTTTAATAAGTGAATAAAATGTAGCAATGCCAAGTTTCAATCTGTTATCCTGAGCTACCTACTAAGATCATGGCATCCAGTCCTCTCACTTCCTGGCAAATAGATGGGGAAGAAATGGAGGTAGTGACAGAATTTATTTTTCTGAGCTCCAAGATCACTGCAGACAGGGACTGCAGCCAAGAAATTAAGAGATGCTTACTCCTGGGGAGGAAAGCTATGGCAAATCTAGACAGCATACTAAAAAGCAGAGACATCACCCTGCCAACAAAAGTGCATATAGTCAAGGCTAGGGCTTTCCCAGTTGCAATGTATGGCTGTGAAAGCTGGATCATAAGGAAGGCTGAGCGACAAAGGATTGAGGCCTTTGAATTGTGGTGCTGGAGAAGACTCCTGCAAGTCCCTTGGACCGCAAGGTAATCAAACCGGTCAGTCCTAGAGGAGATCAACCCTGACTGCTCTTTAGAAGGCCAGATCCTGAAGATGAAACTCAAATACTTTGGCCACCTAATGAGAAGGAAGGACTCCCTGGAGAAGAGCCTAATGCCGGGAACAATAGATGGCAAAAGAAGAAGGGGACGACAGAGGATGAGGTGGCTAGATGGGGTCACTGAAGCAGTTGGTGTGAGCTTGAGTGGACTCCGGGAGATGGTGGAGGACAGGAAGGCCTGGAGGAATGTGGTCCATGGGGTTGTGATGGGTCGGACACGACTTCGCGACTAACAACAACAACCTACCTCAAGGACTTGCTACCCTTCTTCATGGATTCATTTCATTATTTTGCAATAAACATAGAGCATTTTATTTATATTTTATATCCCACTATTCAACCGAGTTGGCTCCTTATGCTTCCACTGCTGCCTTTTACAACTACTCCTGAAGATAATCTTTCAGTCAAAATACGGCATGAAGTAGCAGGATAAGTTGATAAATACTGATTTGGGACTCGCCTCTCTGGGAACCACACACGTCCCACCCTTGACTTCTTGGCTTATTTTTATCTGCTTATTCTGTGAATAATAAACGCATAATGGAAGTGAGGTGCTCCGCCTTCCTCTGCGGCGTCCCTAAGACCTCCATGCATCGTCGGCTTGAAGAGCCTTCAGGTCCATTCTCATCCCGGAGCCTTCGCGCCACCCCCACCCCAGTGCCCGAGGCCGTAGCCTCGCTCGGGCTGGATCTGCGGGGCTCCCTTTCGAGGAGGCGCGCGTCTGCCGCGCCTACACAACTGCGCTCCAGACTCCACGGCTTGGCTCTCACCTTTCTCTCGGCGACTTCAGCATCTTTGAATTAAAACAAAAAAGGCCGCGGCCTCCAGTCTCGAGAAAACGAACAACAACCAGGGAGGAGCCGCAAGTAACGACTCCGGCTCTACGCGCCGCCAAAATTCAAACGCACAAAAGCAGCGAAATACCCTGACGCCAGACTGCGCCGGAGCGCCTCCTGATTGGTCAAGGTAACAACCAATCGCGCATCGCTCCAGTCTCCGTTGTCGAAATGGACCAATCAGGCAGAGGAACACAGCCGTAAATGGGCAGACAGGCGGTGCTTATCCTCGCTCCTCCCAAAAGGCTCCTTGTTGCTTCTCAGTTGGAAAAGAAACAAGAGCGAGGGGAGAGAGAAGAAAAAGGAGCGGCCGCTGATTGGTCGCCCGGGAAGGGAACTCTGTCAGTTTAGAAACAAACCAGCCTTAAGGGAACCCTGCGTTTAGGCCAAGTAGCCGACAGGGGGCGAGGTCGGGCTTGTACGAAGCGATCCGTTAGGTTCTCTCCGAGATGACTCTCATTGCCTTCGTTGCATTTCTGCTTCAGTTCATAACCAAAGTTCTCTGGGCGCTTCCCAAAAATTAAAACCATAAAATGCAACATGAAACGTATAACCTCAATCCAATGGGACTTGCTCTCCCACTGATAAGTGGGTGCTGCAGGATCAACTTTACCGCCCAGGATCCTGTTCACTCAACAGTAAATCCTTTGGTGTTCCGATGGGGCCTCATCCCCAGGAAGCGTCTTTAAAGCCTGCAGCCGCTTGTCTCGCCTTCTACGCCTACAAGTTTGCTAGGAAGTCTAATGCGTTGCTCACCAGTAAGCGCACGCGCTGTCGCACCTTTCTTAGAAAAAACTCAATGAGTTCAAACGCGCCTCCGCATGCTTCGACAGCGGAGAAAGCCTACAACTCCCAGCATTCCCCAGCCAACTGGTTGGGAGTTGTAGACTTTTTCTCCCTGTTTAAAATAAGCGTCGACTTGCCATCTAAAGGAAATTATTTAGAGCAGATCTCCAAACTGAGCGGTTCCTCCCTCGCTGGGGGCAGTGGAAAGATCCAGGGGAGCGATGGTTGGTGGTTTTAAATTTGTAGTAGAGCAATAGACCTAACAAAAAGAAAGAGGCGTGGGGGCACTAAGGTTGTCGCTCAAAAGGCAAGGGCGCGGCAGCCCAAGAAAGTTTGTGGACCACTGATTTAGAGAATGCGAAGTTAGAGCTGAACCCGTGTCCCTCATTTCCAGTAGGATCCTCCACATATTTGCTTGGCGATTATCCCTGCTGAGCTCGGTGGGGCCCTTTCCCAACCAAGGGCAGCTCTACACGCGAGCAAATCCCATCAAACTAGAGCCAGTACAGCCAGGAGTGTCCATATCTCCGGTCTGTAGAAGGGGCAAAAAAGCAGGAAGTAATACAGTAACGACCATCTCCTTTCAAGAAGAGGGGTGAATTTAATCTCCGCTTTGCAACTTCGGAGCGACATCGCAGTAGGGCGTGTTTCCGAAATCCATCCCTTGGCGAAGACAGCGTAATGCTGCCCAAAAGGACGAACTGATGTCCTAAGATAGCAAAAAGGGGCAGACCTACGATAAGATATCGAAGTATCCCACCCGCGAGGCTTAAAGCCTGCCCGCGGGTGGTTTTGCAAGCCCAGGATGGCATGGCGCTAGCTTTTCGGACTTTCTTCGGGATAACATTATGTGTCTGGAGTTTTTGAGGTCCCGCAAGGCATGGAAACTTGTGGCAGCTTTACTGGGACTAATAATGAAAGTGGCCTTGGGGGCTTTCTTTGTCAACGTGGATCTCTCACAGACTGAAAGAGAACTAAAACACTTCTGGAAAAGCACAGGATTTTGGTAAGAAATGAACACACAAACACACACGTGTCTATTTGCCCGGTATTAATAACCGTTCTCTCGTGCAGATCACAAATAACATGCAGCACTGTTTAATCATTGTATTGTTTCCCGGCTTCTCTTGATAGGAAGTCGAGAGGATCAACCTCTTAACAGATGAGTTTCCTTAAGAGAGAAATATATTTGCTAGTTGACGAATTTGCAAATTGAGCACGAGAGATCTGATAAGCCCCGAGACAGTGTTAGTCTTAAATGCAAGCATGATGCATCAGTACGGAGCCACAATTCCTGCAACAGTCAGATGCTAGTGACCGGCATCACTAGTATTTAATGTAGCTACATTAAAATTGTCGGTTTCTCTCCAGCCACCAGCTAATGGACTACACCAGCTGTTTGTCACCATGCAACCAAAGTTATAGCTGTTAAATAAGCAGGTATCCTCTACCCATGAATGCCTCCTGTGGAAATATCCCTCTTAGCTATACAAAATGTTAGATGTGTTGCCTTCCTGTGACAGTAACTGAGGTATTTATTTATTTAAAACATTTCTATGCCGCCCCCATCACAACAAAGCCTCGGGATGGCTCACAACATAAATAAGAATACAATCAATAATTTAAAAACTGGTACCATCTCGGCTATATATTAAAATCTATAAATACAATAATAATAAATTAACAGTTAAAATAACTTTTAAATAAAAAGGTCTTCGCCTGGTGCCGAAAAGCAAATAATGACGGCGCCAGGCGGACCTCTCTGGGGAACGCATTCCATAGACGTACTCCAATAGCATGGCTTACTAAAAAGAATGTAACCATATGGGCATTATAATTTTACTTAATGTTGCCCTGGCACCTCAACCCTATGTATATTTATTTGCTTTGAGATCTCACTGACTTCTAGTATACTTTATACTTCAAGGAGGACTTGCATAAGAATAGACACTGAGTCTCCCACATGGCCACAGAAATGTCCTGAGCATATGAGAGCCATTGGGAGCAAGAGATGTTGCTAGTGCATTGTGTATACGCCAAGGTTCTCAAGTCAGGGTCTTTGGCAGTGGGCCCCATACTCTGTGTGACTATAGCAGTTTGCCAGGGACAGAAACAGTTGGCCTGCTCTCCAATACAGTACCAGCTTATGGGGATTTGATGCTGCGAAGGGCTGGTGAGATTCCATCCCTTGGTTCTATAAAGCTTAGGACTTGTCCTGGCTGCCTTTGCCTTTGTCTTCAAGGAGTGACCCCCCCACCCCCCCCAAAAAGGATATACACTAGGAGTTTTGCTAAAAAGGTGCTTTCGTGTATATACATCCTTTCCTTCATACAGTCACTTCTGTTATATAGTTCTACAGTGAATTTTCAGTGTGTAATTTGAATGATGCGGAGCAACTGTGACATGGCCTTTCCCTGATGGTGCCTAACAGTTTCCCAAGTCAGCCTTTCTCAGCCTGTGTGGGACCTCATCAGATCCTATTTCCATCCTCCCCAGCCAGTAAACATCTGGAGGGTACCAGACTGGGAAAGCCTGAAATAGATTCTTGCTTTGCTACTTATACCTTATAAGCTATGGTATGTCTCTTGTTCTAGTTATTAGTACAATGGTACCTTGGTTCATGAACTTAATCCTTTCCAGGACTCTGATCATTACCCAAATTGATTGTGAGCCAAGTTAAATTTCCCCATAAGGTTCAATGTAAATATGGTTAATCCGTTCTGTAACTATTTTTTTAAATCAGAAAAATGTGAAGCAAAGTGACAAAGAACAACAAAGATTGCAGCTATCTCCCCCCCATCACCATGAGCAAGAGTGTGGCCATCTCCCCGCCCCTCCAGCACAACCGCGATCGTGCCCGTCATCCCGGCACACTCAGGCGGGGGGGGGAGATGGGTGCAAATACTGGCATGCTCGCAGGTGGGGGGAGAGACGGGCGCAATTGTGCTTGAGGGGAGACAGCTGAGACTGCAGTTGCGCTCGTGCAGGAAAGACGGGCGCGATCTCAGCCACCTCCCCCCCACCCCAGTATGGTCGCAGCCACCACCCAATGCAGAGTTCATGACCTAAGTCGATTTTTTTTTTGAAATTTTTGTTCGCGACCCGATTTGGATGTGAACTGAGGCGTTCGTGAGCCGAGGTACCACTGTATTTGAGATATAAGTTGAATAACCCTAAAAGCCATCAGCTCCTCTCAGTGGCCCTATGATAATAGTATCAACTAACCTAGCAGGGATGTTTTAAGGATTGCTAATATATGTGAAGGTCTTTGAACTCTCAAATACACTATATAATGCCGTAATTTTTTTCTTTATTTCAGCCCTCCTTTGCCACACAGTCAAGCAGATTTATTTGATCTCAGTCAAGACCAAAGAATTAATTTGGCCTACATTTCCTCTGTGCCGCATAATGGCATTGAGCAAATTCGAATCCATTGGCTACTGGAGCTTATTGAAGTTGGGTAAGGCAGATTCTACATTCGGTTATTTGTGGCTGCCTTAGTTCTTATGAACGGGTCAGACATCTTGGGGCAAGCTAAGCAGGTCTGACTTTGTACTCTCTGTAGGTGGGAGATTCCCTGGGAATCTTATGCAAGCCATTGTTTCCTTGGAGGAAGAGTTAGAAAAGAAGCTTTTCAAAGAAGGTGGGGGGGATTCTTTCTGCCTTGTGCTTCATCTTGTCTAGGCCTGATTTGATGTATTCTAATCCAGATGTCTTCAGATGGTGACTCAGTTTCAGCTGAGCAGTGGAATCATTGCTACTGTGTGTGTGTGTGTGTGTGTGTGTGTGTGTGTGTGAGAGAGAGAGAGAGAGAGAGAGAGAGAGAGAGAGAGAGAGAGAGAGACAGAGAGAGAGAGAGAGAGAAGTTGCAGTTTTTGTGAGTATGAGGAAGGAGCAGCGCAGAGCTTCTGATCTTGGGTATATAGGCACATGCACACATGGTCTCTTACAGAAGAAATTCCAGTTTGCTAATTAAAACATTCAGCTTGGTCAGATCCACGGGGATTTCTGTTTCAGTTCCTTCCTCCATCTGCAGTGGGGAATATATCTATGAGGGGAAGGAAAGGTACCGGAATGGGACAATTTGTATGCATTAGTGTGCATAGCTTTAGTAACTTATACATGCAGTGGAATGGTTCAGCAGAGGTCTGAAAAATTAGGATGGGGAAAAGAGAAAAAACAAGGAAAGCATGACCTAAAGGACCAACTCTTCGCTGCCCCTGTAGAATGTGAGCCTGCTGTGGAAATGTGTGCCCAACATCACTGATGTCTCATTATCCAGAGATGTTACATACATCCATGCCTTCTGATCAGGAATTGCATCTCCACGAGGCTGTACTGAGATTCCAGATGTACTTTCTTTCCTGGTTCTTGATTATTCTGTACGCACTGTCCTTCCTTGTTCTTGGAGCTTTGCACTGAGGAGGTGGCGCTTTGCCCATGCACTTTTAGGGATGGGATGCTGTAGAACGATTCGTCAGAGATGAACCCCGTATTTCAGAGCTCAGTCCTTGTACTCAAGACAAGTTTCTTTCATATAAGTGAATCTCTAATCCTATCCCATGCTGCTTTCTCCATAAAATCAAAGGGTTGGAGATTTTGCTTTAAAAATGAAGGTTAGGATGCAATTCTGTGCATAATTAGAAAGGAAAAAACTACAGCTCCCAACATCCTCCAAGCTTGCCAGGAACTGCTGGGAGTTGCAGGACTTTTTCCTTGTCAAAATATGCACAGGACTGCATCCTAAAATACACTGATTTACTACTATTCCCTTTAGTTCTGATTAGTTCCAAATTATTTTGCCAAGACTCCTCTTCTCTGAAATTGTCTGAACTGCTCCAGAAACAACAACAACACATACCTGCATGCACATGTGCACACACTCAGGTTTCTTAGGAGCACCAGTTTTCTGAACTGGAATACTTATACCCTATCTCATTTATTCTTTTGCAGAACAGAAAAATCCTCATTTCATCCAGAGGCATGCATAAAAGAGGCAGATGTGGGGACCAGGATGTTATTCCTGTTGAATTATGCTAGTTGGGTACTATTGCATTGGCAAGAGTGAGTCTGTTTAGGGAGTCAGTCATTTAGTTTCAATCATCTACTGTGTGCCCAACTCACTGGGAGCATCACTTGGATTTTTTTTGTCTCAGGGCTTCAGGGCCAGCTTTGCTTGAAGTGACACCTGTTGAAAATGTCCATTTTCTGCAGTACAGGGTTTTGCAATCTGGTGAAAAAAAACTACCCAGAATAAGCAAGGAAAGCAATGCTCTACCTGCTGCTGTCTGATAAAACCTGTCCCTGTGGGCAAGACTTTTCAGCAGTTGATTTCTCTCCAAACAGAAGCAAGAGACAGGATTTCTGATGAATCTTTTTAATAAAATCCCACGCCTTAATGGAATGTGGAAGAAGTAAAGGTTAATATGGGCACCCAAACTTTGCTTTTCTTTTGCACTGGGTGATTTTCTAGCAATAGAACAGTGAGGCACTGGCCTGGGTCATATGTAATGACAGGGAATGTATTAGAGCAGGGGTGCTGACCCTCTTCCAGTCAGAGGGCTAAATTCAGTGCTAGAGAAGTGCTTGGCAAGTGATGAAGGCAGCAATCCAGTGTTGGGCAGGGACAGGACCAAAAGGACCAGTACATTTTAGCTTAAAACTCATATTATCAGTAACTAAGTCTTCAAAGAGGCTTTTGACCTGTTAGAAATATGGAAAAACCAGGAAACCACCCAACAGTTGAGAGGAAGAGGCATGGCCATCTAGGGAGCCCCAGTGAGGCAGAAAGGAAACTACAGGTCAGCTAAATTTCAACACCCAGACTGAGGGTCAACACCCCTGCTTTGGGGTTATGAGAAGGGACCATGAAGAAATGTGAAACTGAAACCACAGTTGGACATGGATAGGTTTGAGCTAATGGATAGATAAACCATAACAGGAAACTATGGTTTGTTCAGAGCTGGAGCCTTCAGCTCCAGAAATGCATGCCTAAGGCTTGCCATCACAAATGCTTCTAAAATTAAACAGTGATTTAGCATTATGTTTATTCAGGGTCCACATGTATTGTACATTGGACCTGCCCTAGGTATGTCATATTTATACTGCTCAGTATCCATAAAGGTTAAAACACTTTGGAATAGGAAGGTTCCACATAGGAAGGTTCCATATCGGAACATGTGGAAGATGGCAACCTCTCGGCAGGGAATGTAGGATGTCAACTGCCAGGTGCTGGCATAATTTGATTGCATCTTGGGCTATACAACAGATTCATCTCCTGTAATCTCCTTCTCTCTTACAAACTGGACCGCACTGTGTACGCTGTGAAACAACAAATCATGTATGTCCTTCTTTGCACTCTCCAAGTAGCCCCCTCTTTCTAGAGATGCTATTACGGAGGGGTTGCAGCAAGCCAGAAGAAAAGTGATCTTCAGTTCCTGGTGATCTTTGAGTGCTTCTTTCAGGGTGCTCACACCAGCTGTGTCCAGAAATGGGATGGAAGAGCAGTCCACAATGATAGCCTGGCAGTCGCTTTGTGTACTGACCAGGCATGAAGTGGTGTCTCCTTGCCCACCTCCATTCTCAAGACTCAGTTGCCCTTTCTTCTTGGCCCTTTTCCTTTTGGCCACTTCCACAGCAGGATTCAGCCCCGTCCTGCCATGGAGGCACTTCAGGAAAAAGTCCTTATTTGCATAATAAAGTGGTGCTTGGAAGCGGAAAATCTTGATCTTTGGGACAGGCAGAAGGTTTTTGTAGCGCTCATCATCTTCATAGAAGGCGGAATTCCCAATCTGCCCGAGCAGGGCCACGTGGGGGCGCTGGGTGCGGCCCACAATGCACAGGGCCGAGAACACAACCCCGACCAGGAGCCCCATTTCCGTGCTGATCAAAGCAGATGAGAGCATGGTGACGCACCAAACCAGTGCATCCGTTTTGTCCAGGTGGAAGCGCTGGGGAATGTCTCTGAATTTCCGAAGGGCTCCCCGTAGGCTGACGATGATGATGCAGGCCAGAACACACTTCTGCAGGCTGAAGAAGAGAGGCGCGAAGAACAGCAGCACCAGCAGGACCACCACGGCACTCACCAGGCTGGACACCTGAGTCTGGCAGCCCGTTGATGCTTTGACCAGGCTCTTGGCCAGAGCTGCACTGGTGGCAAAGCAGTGGAAGAACGCTGGGATAATGTTGCAGAAGCCAATGGCAAACATCTCCTGGTTGGCCTTGACCGTGTAGGCGTACTTCTTGGCAAACATTTCAGAGAGTGATACCGTGAAGGCAAAGCCGACAATGGCAAGTGGTACGGCATCAACGGCGACTCTCTGCATGAGGCTGAAGCTGGGCACTTGGGGTGGGATGAAGCCGGTGGGAATCTCCCCCGACACACTGGAGGCATAAAGCTCGTTCAGCTGCCCATAATGGGAAACCAGGGTGGCCACCACGATCACCACCAGCTCCGTTGGAAGGGGGACCTTGAGCTTATGCTTGTATCTGTCTCCCAGTTCTTTGGCGATCACCAGTACAGTGATGCAGATGGTGCTCGTAATTATGTCACAGAAATTGGCCTGGGAAATATTGTGGAAAATGTTAACCCAGGTTGTAATTAAGGCCCCATAACCCTGGACACGAGGGATTCTTATTCCAATGAGGTACTTCACTTGTGCTGTCAGAATGGTTAACGAAGCCCCAGTTGCAAAGCCGTCTAGCACGGGCTCAGAAAGGTACACTGACACAAAGCCAAGGTGAAAAATTCCCATCAGAACCTGCAAGAAAAGCAAGCACAAGGGTTAGAATGGAACCCAACTGTACCGTAGCTGATCCGCTGCCCTCGCGGTTTCCTAGAATTTCTTCTTTTCCTCTACATTTCCTTACATGGAAAAGATGAAGCTCCAAGCAAACTGAGACAGCAGCTCTACCAGACACAATTTGATACTAGTAAGCTTAAAAGTAAGTGGAATGAGGATTTATCTACAGATCTCAACATCTAACATTTTTAAAGGTAACAAAGAAAAGGGTATACTAAGCCCCTCTGTCCCTTTCAGAAATATGCTGCCATTTACGTAACTCATCCTAAGGCTGTCCCAGTTTTGAGCCAGCCTGGGGTCCTTGCCACATTGGAATAGGGGTTTCTGTGCAAAGGCCAAATCCCCATTATAGTTATCCCTGGGCCCAGATGTGAGGCTGTTTATTATGGTGACATTCAACACATATCAGAAGAGGCTCTGAGGCAAAGTGAGGAAGATGCAGGCCCAATCCCTCACCAGGGGTAGGCTTTATACAGGTAAAGGCCTGTGCCCTTCCCATTCTGCCACTCTTTATTGTTACCGCTGTCTCCCCCTTTCTAAAATGGTATAAATAATAACAAAACAACCCTTTACTGGGCTTCCTTGCATGTAATATTGTATGTAATTAGATTAAATGGACTCTTCTGTTTGGGGAAATCCACCAAGCCTCCCCACTTCCCATTTTGAGCTGGGTTCCGGAAATTCTGGGCTGGATTCAATCGTGTGCCCCCACCAGCAGAATGAGCAACGCTGGTGGAACAGATTCCCCCTCTCCCGTGTGCCCTCCCCAGTCTGATCTGCTGCTTGGAGGACTCTCCAGCAGAGATTTGAAGGCATGCTGGTGGCTGCATGGCAAAGAAGTGGGAAGAAACTCCTATTGCACCAGTGGGCACCCCCGTTCATGTAATGGTGCATGCAGCCTTTTTATTTTGGAAGAATTTTAATGAACTATTTCTACTGGTGTTTTTGTTTTGTTTTGGTCTTCGGCGGGGGGGGGGGGAAGGAGGATGTTGCTGTAGGTTTACTCCGTTTGATAGTTCAATTTAATTGGGGGTTCTCATTTTGCCTGCTGCTTTGGAGAAACTGGCTTTTTTAAGTGAGATATGAAGGTTTCTACATAAAGAGATAGATACAAATTAGACACACATAATCAAAAGGGCAGAAGAAGATGTTACCTGATAAACACCAGCCATGAAGGTCAACGCCGTCGCTACCCCAATGGCATAGCAGTCTTTGTCACATTCCCCACCCACTATGCCGAGGGTAAAATTGTAAACAGTGACATTAGAAGGGCCTCTACCATCCGTGGCTTCCTGAGCATCATCGCTGAGGTCAAACCCTGCCAAGAGCAGTTCTCTGTCCACAACCTGTCCAACCATTAAGCTTAATAAGCTGAAGATGCCCACTGAGACATGTCGGGAGGTCCCCATGAGAAAGTAGATGATATTGGCGAAGAAGGATGTGTAAAGGCTGAAGATGGGCTTCAGGCCTGCTAACAGAGAGTAGGCGATTGCTTGAGGAACTAGGATGATCCCAATGACCAGGCCTGACATGATGTCTCCACAGATGTATTCTTTGCAGTTGTATTTGGGCAGCCATTGTAACACAGGGAAGAAGTTCATGAGGGTATCTTTCATTCTTTTGGTTGTGCAGGAGCAGTCTTTCCTCAGGTGGCTCTTGACCACTGCTGCTTTGCTGATCTTGATGGGAGTTTTCCTTTCCGTATAAAATTGGAAAGGAGAACCATTTTCTTTGCTGGTTTGCTCCATCTCCTTTTCCATTCTGGGCCTGCTTTAATCAGTTCCTGTGATGTAACAAAATCAGATTATCCTTTGAATGGGTTTGATCATGACTGATACATTGCCTGTTCCTTCTACTGGAACCCAAGTTAATTTATAGCTTAGAATGCGTTTGGTTTGAAAAATCTTGATTGGTTTTATTTATTCAGTTTGTCTTTCTCTCCATCCATCCCAAAGACTCCAGGCAATGTCCGTCTCGAAACATTTATGGGATAGGTAGAGCAATCCTATGCTGACATAACTCCAATCCTAGAGATATTGCCAGTGTTGCCATTACGTTGGCAAAACTCATACCATTTCCAGCATCTGCCAATCCTGGAAGCAGATGAAGGAAACATACAGGTAGAAAGTACAAAGAAATAAAACACATACCTGGTCAGTGCCCCCCAGTCAGGGACAGTGCCGGCAATGACTCCTACGTGCCACTCACACTAGGCAGCCATTGAGGACCAGTGTCAAGGTTAGGCATTGCTGGTCCCTTGTTCAGTGATGCCCTCACACCACCCTAGTAGGGTCTACTGACAAGAGCACTTGGACTTGTTCCTCCTTTTCCCCACCACATAACCTGCATGTTGCTCCAGCCCAGACGGTGGTGGTGCTGAGCAGGAGCAGCAACACACACTGGCAGTTTGGAGAAGGAGGAAGCGCAGCCAGTAACCATCACGGTACAAAAGCGGGCCAGTGAGGAGGGGTGGGGGGGCAATGGACAGCGGCTTGCCCAGCGGCCCTCAAAAACCTGGAGCTAACTCTGCAACCAGCGAAGCCACAATGGCGAGGATGCCTCTTCGACGCACAGTGTTACACACGTGCCCTGCAAGAAGCTGCCTGAGCACTCCCACTCCATCAGCTGCAGCAGCATGGCCAGCAACAACCCCACGATCGTTGCCAGGCCCAGATTGCATGGTGTTGAATCTTCTTCACAAGCACAGTTTTATGAGCATGACACACAGAAGGGAGGAGGGAAGAACACACAGCCCTCCTGGGGGCAGGTTTCCATACCAGGCCAAGCAATCAAAGGCCGTCTTTCATCAAGGGGAGCCAGAACAATATCAATGGTAACATCAGTCTTCAGTGCCTCAAACCATAGAGTGAGGGAGTAGGAGGAGATGGAAATTCTTCCACCAGGTGGATGTGGCAAAGACATGCCCTTGTTCACCTTTTGCATGCCTCTGGGTAAAATTGCTTCATCTCTAGTGCAGAACACAGAGAGCTGCTGGGACTTGAATCTTTACTGCAAATATCCCAGGACTTAGCCCTAGGTGGGATTGATCACCTGGGTTGTCAGGGAGAGAGGAGGACCAAAAGGGGATGATTTGCCCATGTGGGAATCAAGCTGTCAGTTCAAGCTGATTGGCTTAGCTGGTCCTGGTTGTGGAGCAAGACTGATCTGTTCAGTGGGCACCCCATAATCCTGCAATTGTCTCCCCACTGCAGGGGGTAAGAGCAAGTAAAATGGGGTGGTATATCTTGGGTCAGGAACATGGATCCTCTGAGATTACCTCACTGGCAGATATACATAAGCCGGAGAGATTTAACATGCAAATTGCATTCTGGCTGGCAATTGCTGCTGTATTCTGTGTACACAAGGTTGTTGGGCTGAAAATTAAAAATCAACCAACCGAAGTATCATTGTGCCCTCAGATTCATTTTTTATTATTATTATTCCTCTGTCACTGTGGTGTTTTGGAGTAAGGGATGTCTCTTCTTTTATGGATCACTGGAAGTATTCACATTTATCTTTTCATTTATTTATTTATTTTTCGATTTATATCCTGCCTTTTTCCTACAAAGGGCTCAAGGCAGCTTACATCCTCCTCCTCCTCCATCTTATCCCCACAACAACAACCCTGTGAGGTAGGTTGGGCTGAGAGTCTGTGACTGGCCCAAAGTCACCCAGTTGGCTCCATGGCTGAGCGGGGACTGGAACCCGGATCGTCTGAGTCCCAGTCCCATGCTCTTCACCACTACACCACACTGGCTCTCGTAGGGGCAATAAGGGGCATAGGGGCAATAAGAATGAATCTTTTCCAAATTAACTGTACCAAATGGGCTGGCTTTCAGTTTGATTGTTGGGCAGCAGTGTCTCCATTATCTGTAAAGTAAGGCTGCAGATATTTACTTAGGAGTGTCCCATTGGACTCAATGAGACTTTCTTCTGAGTAAATATGCATAGAGCTATGAGTCACAGAGGAGCAAATTTAGAGGGGAATAATTTCTTTTAAAGTAAATATAATCCAGCGATTTTAGCTGTTAGCACAACTCCTATAATGCATCCCGATTGCATAAGTGGGTGAAACGTTATTTTAGTAAACCAGAGGTTCAGGTCACAGAGTGTTGATTTTCTAATGTAATTTTTAAACTCCTGCTTTGAAATAACTCCACATATTGCTTTATTTTGCCATTCTGTGAAAGGAGGAATGTTGTCCATGGAGTCATGATGGGTTGGGCATGACTTTGCGACTACCCACAACAAAAGGGCACAACAAAAGAAACAACAAGTTTCTTAAAGGAGAGAAGCTCCTAATCAAAGATTTAAGAAGAGGGCAATTTAAAAGCAGGGCACCACAAATGAATTCAAGAAATTCTGCTGCTGAGCATCCAATGCCTTAGCCTTAGTAATCATTTCAAAATAAAATGTCAGTCAACTGGAAACCCAACAAGAGCCCAGATGATGGCGATTTCTTTACCAGAAAAAGTCTTGGCAGCAATGCCTTCATGATAGTGAGCTGAATACTAACAGTGTTTTACAATAAAGCAATTATCAGTTTGCAGCAGAAGAGCAGGGCCTTAATGAGCAGCAGCCCAGGAAAGCGCCTTTTTCAGATACTGTATTATCAGCATAGGCAAATATTTTATATTGTTATTTTCTCATCAGAAAGTGACTTCTAGTTGTCAGTTAATCACAAAGATCTGATAAATAAGTTTAATATCTCTGATTTCCACGTGAGTACATTGGGAATCCACTGAGAGCAAAGGTATTTAACAGTGAAAATATTAACACCAGGAAGTGTTTGATGGAGAATCTCCTTTAATGCATGAGCTCACTAATGCTTTAGGCAAGCTTCTGCTTTCTCCATCTCAACTTTCATATCACCTCCATTTAAGACATTTTAACCCTGCCTTTCAAAAGCTTTAGAAGGCTTCCAAGCCACAATTAAAAGCAGAATGGAAACATACGCACATCAAAACAGTAGTTGCAAAACCATTCTAGACCATCCGATGACTACTAGCAGACAAGAACAGCCGGCAGCTCTTAATGCACCAATGCTTGGCTGAATAAGTGGGCAGTACACTATCACTTGAGGTCCCCCAAGGCAGAAACATTGCACTGGAGGGATGTCACCACCACTGAAAAGGCCCTGCTCCTTGTTACATAGAGCTGCACATTCTGTGTTGAAAGAATACAAAGATGGGCTCTTAGTGTGATATTATCAGAACACAGACTGACTTACCTCATGAGGTTATTGGAAGATTTACTGAACTAGCATATTTGGAATATTAACATTTTAAACATGGGTAGTACTGTTCTGAGAGCAATGCGCTGAGAGAACAGTATATAAAATAATAAGGCATGCTATTATTACAATCATTGCTATTACTTGTTGAATAAAAACTTGCTGCAGTTTTTTAAAAGTAAGCCACATACATACAGAAATTATTTTTATGGAGATACATGGAGGATTATTATTCCTTAATTAGAGTGATATTTACTTATAAAAAGGGTAAACTCCATGTGTGGATGTACAGGCATTGTAAAATCCATTTCATCTATGTTTCCTGGATTGTCGGGTGCCTTTCATTCCATTCTCTGATCACTGAAGGAATTAGATTTTGCACAGATGCATTATACAAATTTGCACAATTTCAGAGTTGCACAAATCTGCACTCCCCAAAATTCCTGGAAAAATGTATTTCATGTTTTAGTTTATGGAGTAATGGATCATTATGATTAGTAGATGTTCTGTGACTACACTTCCGTAAAATTAAAGATTTTTTCAAAGAATCTGTGTGACTTTGGGAAAAGCCAGTCCTCTGTGGAATCTATGGGTTAGAGTCTTAGAAAATCAAAATTGTTTGCAAATTTCTCTGCCATCTCTAACTTCATGGTCTCCAAAAGGAGCGAAGCCACAGATGCTCCAATGAACTGTAGCACTTAAAACATGCTGAGATCCATGCTACATATCTGGATAAAAACGGATTTCTTGCTCCAGTGAATCTGTTTTCTTGTTACTGCATTTAGATTTATGTTGTTCTTTTCATTTCTGATGCCATTATGGAATTGTAAGCCCTTGCAAAGTGAAAAAAACCTGCTCTTCTTACTTACTGTGTTCTGCAATGTATGTATAGTAGGTAACAAATGAAGATCTCAGTGGCATTCCATAGTCTTTGCAGCCAAGTACTTTCAGGCAGATCAGTGCCAAAGAATGAAGCGAATCTGCTTTAATATCTGTGGGCAGTCCCATAATGTAGCAATCGACTGTGTTGGGTAAATATTGAAGAAGGGCATGAACAAGGGACCACAAAGCACAATCCAAAACCGCTCCTCTGTTTCCACATGTCTGGTGCCCAACTTTAAACTATTTGACCTTAATTGTTGACTTGTTCAATTTTCAGTGGCAAACATTAAACAAGCAATAATCTTTAAAGTATAGCCTGTGTAATAATTGATCCACGCAATCTGTCTCTGGCAGTAACAATTTGAAGAGGATTCAGGAAGAGAGAGAGCTTTTGTTTGGCAGAGGGTTTTCTTGCAAACTGCACTTTAAAAGTTTTTAGTCAGGTTAATGTATATTTGCATATTAAAAATAAGCCAACATATATTAGTTACAAGGATAATTTTGCTGCATGTCTAAATTAGTAAAGACCAGGCAAGATTTGACTGATCACAGGAAGTTGGATGTTTACACTGTGCAAAACTTGAGATCAAGTTAGCACGTGAACCAGATGGCTGCAGAATTGCTGTTTTGTCTTTTCTTTGGTGC